GTAATATATTTACTGAGAAAAATGGTGACGTGTTCAATACTTGTTTTACCTGCTGTATCTGTTCTTGAAAAAATATTTATCAGAATTTTTTAATGAAACAATTCCATATATATATCTATATTTTTAAAAGGGTTTTCACAAAAATAATACTGTATACATTTCTTTTCACATTGGCTCTTTTCATGGTTGGTGAACAAAGAAGAAAAAACAGAAGTCTACAAACCATGAGTTGGCAGAGTCCAAATCATCCTTTTATGTCCTCAGCTTCACAGACTTTAAAATAACAGAAGTACAAATAAAAGCAGCACTAATGCTGCTGAAAAATACCCACTCATTTTAGTGTACTCAAGTGAGGCTAAAGGATTATTTTACCCGCTGTACTGTATATGGACTTATTTAATCTACTGCCAGTGTGAGTACATATTTAGCTAAAATGTTTGCAATTTAAATATTTAGTAAAAATCCGACACAAAAAACACAACATAGCCACATGCTCCAAAATATAAATCCCAGTAATGTTTGTGGTTGTGTTAATTTTGTTTTCTCATGTTCTTTCAGGGGTGGCACAGTGACTTAGTTGGTAAAGCTGATGCCTCTCAGCAAGAAGGTCGCCGGTTCAAATCCTGGCCCGAAGACCTTTCCGTGTAGAGTTTGCGTGTTCTCTCCGTGCATGCGTGGGTTCTGTCTGGGTACTCTGGCTTCCTCCCACAGACCAAAAACATGACTGTTAGGTTAATTGATAACTCTAAATTGTCCCTAGGTGTGAGTGAGAGAGTGAATGGTATTTTTTTTTTTTTTTGTCTCGTGTGTCTCTGTGATGGACTTGCGACCTGTCCAGGGTGTACCCCGCCCCTCGCACGGTGACTGCTGGATATGGGCACCAGTGACCCACACGACCCTGAAAGGAAGAAGTGTGTACAGAAAATGGATGGATGGATGTTCTTTCAGACCACAGTCCTTATACAAATCCCCATCCGTTCAGTTTTGAAGGTTGTCTAATTGGAAAACTCACTTCACAGTTTTTAATTAACTGTGAAATACTTGAGCTGGACACCTCCAAATAGGTGAGAGGTGTCTAATTATCACATCGAACCTATAATTATTTGTAGTGACACATTGAAATTACTTTATAGGACTCATTAGGGATCTATTTTTTTTCCCAAAAATGTGATGTGATTGTTTAACATTTTATAAAATTCAAACATTCATAGACATCTAACATTATATGTTCATTTCTTCCAAATAGGAAATGCTCAGAATTTATTCTTAGTATTAGAATTGTTTAATGTGGTAAAAGCAGCTTTCAGCTGTCATTAACAATCACCACCACACACGCTTCAGTATTGACTCCGCTAGTTAACTCACTCACAGTAGTGTGATCAATGAAGAGCTACATCTACACACGTTCCAGCAGCATTTTAAGTGAAACCAGATTAAATGGTAGTTCTTTGAGTAGCCACACATGATGGCTCCACATTTCGAAAAGAAAAAGCTAATTATTATTTACTGATCTACAAAAATGTAGGACAGTGAGTCACCTCCAGGTGTATGGTGTTGAGAAAGAAAAAAATTGTATAGGTCTTCTGGACAGGTTCTTCTTTAATGAAACGTTTCGTCTCTCTTCCAAGAGACTTCTTCAGTCTGAGAGTTTCAGGCAAAATTCAGGCTTTTAAGCCCTGCCTCCATG